ACACTGCTCCAGGCCCCAAAGATTCAATGGTAAACACAACAGAGTCCCTACCCCCATGGGCTCATATTCCAGCTATGAAATCAGACAATAAACAAGATATGTCTGAAGAGATGTCATTTGAACAAAGCCTAAATGATCTGAAGAAACCAGTTAATACACGAGGGAAAGGCTGTCCAGGCAGAAACGCTGGTGTGGGGTGGGCGTGTGTGGAGTCTGGGACGAGCATGGATCATAATCCTGAAAGACACAATCTTGAGTGTTGAAATCCCAAAATATCAAAATCCCTAAAGTCTAAAATCCCTAATATCCAACATCCTGAACATGATAATCACAGGAATCATAGAAGAATTTCAAAAAGAGCGGTGCATGTAGAAAACGAACGCACACGTATTCTCTGGGAAGAGCCATGTCCTAAGAGGAAAAAAAGCAGCTATCCATCGCGATGCAAGACCTTAAAATATACCTAATGACTGTGCGGTCGGCTGGCTCTTGTGGACTATCTCCGGGAAGTGGCCCATAATCCATCCTTGTAATGCCCTTTTCCACTTGTCGAATTTTCTTTCTTTTAGTTTTTTTCCACTATTGTAAATTGTCAGCGTTATTTTTTACGTATTTTTGCCACACCGTAGCCTTGTCTTTGCATCATTTCTGTACTGGAGGTTTAGACTGTGTAGAGACTCTACGGAGTTCTAGTTCATTTTATGCATTTTTTGCAATTTGACTCCATGAAAGCACGTTATCACAATGTTGACTTTGTGCGTAAAAATGCCAAAACTCCCTCAATGAATGAAGAGATGTCCTTTTTGTACATCTGCACTTGTGAAAGGTAAGATGTCGGCTGTCTCGGCTCTTGGGCCTTGCACGTGCTGTGGGGCCCACCCTGGTTTGTGGCCAATCCTGCTGGAAGACTGAAGTTGCCCCTCAGTGTTTCCCACGGCTGCGGTTACAGAGCTGCGTGCTCACAATTACCGACCCGAGTGATATGTGTTTATGCATTTCCCTTTTTGACCTGTTTTTTTGGGAATACAGCTCATCTGCTCATAACTGTTGTCGTTGGTATATTTGTATTTATGCTTGCAAAAATATGTATGTTGAGACTGGGTGCGGTGGCTCACGCCTGTAATCCTAGCACTCCGGGAGGCCGAGGAGGGAGGACCACCTGAAGTCAGGAGTCCAAGACTAGCCTGAGCAAGAGCGAGACCCCGTCTCCACTAAAAATAGAAAAATTAGCCGGGCATGGTGGCACGTGCCTGTAGTCCCAGCTACTCGGGAGGCTGAGGCAGGAGGATTGCTTGAGTCCAGGAGTCTGAGGTTGTTGTGAGCTATGATGACACCACAGCACTCTAGCCCAGGTGACAGAGCGAGACTCTGTCTCAAAAAAAAGAAAAATGTATGTTATTATTGCCTATTTTATTGTGTAAAGTGGCCTATGAAGCATTCTGTCGTGTTCTTGTTTCTCAAATAAATCCTCTTTTAAAAATATAAATATCCTTTAAATAATTTTTATATTATTTTTCCAGAATTATATTTCAGAATTTTGATCTTTTGAGATTATGGCATTCAGGATTGTGTCTTTTGGGATTATGATCAGCTCCCATCTGGGGCAAGGCAGGAGGCTGGTGTGGGGTGCAGGGAGAGCAGGGGAGGGGCAGAAACAGGTAGGGCAGGCAGTGGTCAGACCACACAGGCCTCAGAGGGGCGTGGAGCCTGTTGTGGGGTATTGAGCGAGGCAGTGAAGAGACTCGACTGTTCTAGGATTGTCTGGGCTGCCGTGGGAGGGCGGGGAGTCGGCACACTGAGGCATAGCATGAGCTCCGCAGGGGAGTGGAGGCAGATGTGCAGACACTTGCTTGAGCAGCTGAGAACGGATTGCAGGAGGCTGGGGGCGCCACAGGGCCTTGGGAACTTGGCCACGAGGTGGGGATAAAGGCCAGTGGTCAGCAGATTCCAGAGGTTGTGAGCGACAGGAGCAGCCTGGGTGTCGGGGCCATCTGGACCGGCGCCAGGGGGATCTGGAGAGGGTGGGTTGCTCGCCTGGAGCCACGAAGGCCAGGCAGGGTCTGGAGGAAGCGAATGGAAAGCTAGGTTCATCAGGTAGCAGCCACGGAGAAAAAGGCCAGGAAATTGACCTTTGCATTTGGTGGAAGGAAAGTCAGGGGCACGGGGCACAGGCTGCCTGGGGGCAGCCCAGACTCACCTGGGGTTTCGCTCTGAGAGAAGGTGTGAGTTAAACAATCTCCCAGAGAGCAGGTAAACAAATTTATTAATAAGTGTTTGCTGTGGGAAAGAATGAACAGCTCATTATCTGCAGAAGAGAAGAGGGTTGGGCTGGAGCCCAACTAACCCAGCACATCTGGCCCTGGGCACCTCAACCTGCCCATGCGCCCCGAGGGCAGGGATTTGGGGTCAGACGGGGGCCCCCGCCCACAGTGGACACTTAGAAAGTGCCGAACGTCTTTCCACCAGGGCAGCCCACCACGCTCAGAGAAACAGAGCCTGCCGGATCAGACCACATGTGTGGAGCCAGGCCCCGAACGCTGGGCTGCTCTGGGGCTACTCGGTGGTGACAAGTTAGTTGGGAATGAGAAGAGCTCATCCCGCTCAGTCAGGAATCCCCACGTTAGAGAATTTTAAAGTAGCTCTACATAGTACTGCATGGCTGATACGCCAGGTATTTATGGCTCACTGTAACATTATGTCACTGTCCCCTCTTGCACTCTCAAACCTGACTTCCTTGGCCTTGCCCTTCATTGAGGTCACTTTTCACAAAGAAGAGAGAGCCCATTCCAGAGCGCGCCCTGCTGCCCCACACTGCGAGGGGCCGAAGCCCTTGGGGTCACATCAGTGAGAGCAGGACAGGGACTGTAGGTCTGAGCCCTGCTGTCACCCAGTTCCAAGCAGGCATCCTTTCTGCCAAGCCCTGTGACAGGAGGGGACAGCTGTAGCTCCCGGCTCCAGCTATAAAAAGCCCCAACACCCAAGTGAGCAGAGGACACTCCGGGAACCCAGCGGAACTCAGGGAGGAGCCCAGCTCAGAGCCATGCCGAGGCTGCCCCCCGCCCACAGGCTGCTCCAAGCCCCACTGTGCTCTTGGGTGGTTCCCAAGGCGCACATCTCTGCCAAGCCAGCCAGAACACCCACCTCCCCTGCGGTAAGTGACCCCCAAGGCAGCAGTGGGCAGTCCTGAGAACTCGGCCCATTTCCTGGGTTTTGGGTGACACAGAAGTCTGGCTGGTAAGGGGAGAGGGGGCTCTGGTGTCTGAATGCCAGAACGGTGTCCTTGCAGTTCTCACCTGCAGGCCGACTGTCAGCGGTGGGAAGGGGCCCACTCGCCTTCCGGCAGAGGGTGTGCTCCAGCTTCACCTTCTGTTAGAGGGGAGAGTGGGGCTGCTCCAGGGTCAGAGGAGAGAACAGGTGAAAACTAAAACCCAAGTTAACCCTCTCCACTGCAAAGTCTCTGTTTCAAGCAGAAATAAGCCAAGGTCGTGAGGGTCATTTGCCCAAGGTCATGTGACTAAGACCCGAACCCAGACTAAGGTCCCTATCCTAGGCCAGATTTGCTTTTAAACGTCTGGAGGCTAAAGTCCAAAGGACCGGTGTGCAACCTGGCATCTGACTCAGCTCTGGGAAACAGGGACGGAGGACTGGGCCCAGGCCCTGCTGCGGGAGGAAACACTGAGCGAGGGTGAAATCTGGCTGGTGCCTCAGCACCTGGCTCTGTAAGTTCAGGCACTGAGAACCTGCGGGTCGGCACATGCACAGACGCAGCACCACCCAGCCTCCGAGCAGGACTGCCACGTGGAGGAAGGGCCCTGTGCTCGTCCACTTTCCACTTAACGTCTTACTGGTTTCTGCCCTCTGTACGGCACCCGACATGCACGGCCATGGGTAGCCCAGAGGACAGTGTGCACCTTGAGTCTGGGGCCGTGACTCTGATGCCTGCCCGGTGTGAACTGCAGCCTGGCAAGAAGGCGCAGGCAGCCAGGCAGGCTCTTGGGCAGAGGAGTGGGGCTGTCCCCAGAGGCCCCCACGGAGACAGAAGCCCCAGGCTACTGCTCCTGCTGAGGGCTAGAGGCTGCCAATCTTGGTGATGACAGTGGTTACTCACTGCATGTGACCCACCACGTGAGAAGTCTGAAGGCAAACAGAGATAACACGGCTGGGGAGGGAGGGGGCAAGGCAGTCTGTCTGAGTCCCACAGAGTGGGACCCCAGGGACAGAGGGCAGGTGGACAGCCTCCCTCGGTGACCCGGGCTTGGTGGACTTGTGTGTGCTTTCCTCCGCTAGGAGCAGGCCGTGGGGCTCTCAATGATGTTCCTCAGCTTCCTGGTTCCTGCGGGCTGGGTCTTAACCCACCTGGACAGCTATAAGAAGAGCTCCACAGCGTGAAGCCTCTGTGGACACCCCCAGCGCAGGGCTGAGGTTGCATTAAAGCCCTCCTTCCACCCAGCGTTCACTGACTCTTCTTTGTGCGTGCACCCACTCCTAGACTGGGCACCTCACGGTGGTTCCCTCACACACCTAGCCCCGGGCTGTCCCAGGGCCGGCTCACCGGGTCACAGAAGCTGCTGGCTCTGAGTGATGTGTGGCCAGGATGTGGACGCCTGTGTCAGGAGGCACCTGTGGGCGCCTCTCCGATGGCAGACAAGACCAGCTTCCTCGGTCCTCAGTGCCAGGGTCTGCCCCACCTGGTATGTGCCGGGAGAGGAGGGGCCATGGCCAAAGCCCCCAAGACCTCCCTAGGTTCCAGCTCATGCTTTTTTTTTTTTTCCTCTCTATATTTTTTAGTTGTCCAGATAATTTCTTTCTATTTTTAGTAGAGACAGGGGGCAGGGGGTCTCGCTCTTGCTCAGGCTGGTCTCGAACTCCTGACCTTGAGCGATCCACCCGCCTCGGCCTCCCAGAGTGCTAGGATTACAGGCGTGAGCCACCACGCCCGGCCAAGCTCATGCTTTTTAATCAGGCACAGGCTTGACCTGGGAGCTCAACCCAAGGAAGCAGAACCACACAAAGGTGTTTATTATAGGAACGTTCTTGAGCCACATTGCAAAAGATGTTCACAAAGGTAGATGCAGATGGAGATCAACCTTGGGGTGCGTGTCCTCCAGACTGAAGGGCCACTTCCTGCCTCATCAAATTGAGACTGGGGACCCCTCTGCCCTGCAGGAGAGACCCACGAAGGAGCCTTCTCCCGGTTTTCACAGCAACAACAGTCTCTACTCCACATAGGACCCCAACCCCCACCCAAGCTCAAGGCAAATCTTCTCAGCTGCCAGTTCCATGCGCCGCAGAAACGCCTCCCCAGGCAGGTGCCGGGGCCTAGGTGAGGATGTCATGGGCCTGGTGCTCCACCAGCATCTCCATGCTCTTCACGTCGGTGCACCAGAACTCCAGGCGGTCCTTCATCCCCTTGATCTGAAGTGCAAACCAGGGCCACATGGGGCATTGAGACATGCGTGAGTCACAGGCCAAGTGGCCAACGCCACAGCACCCGATGGGAGCTCTAACCAAAAGGACATCTGAGCTGGGGGAGTTGGGTGTGTGATAGGACTGCCCAGTCCAATCTTATCAAAGGACACTTTTTGAAAAACTTGCATGAAAGAAAGCAGGCAAGAACAGAGGAAATCCACAGTATCGGGTTTCCAGCAAATGTGAGTAAGGTGGGTGTGAGCTCGGATCACAGAGCAGGAAGGTAATTGAGGGGTGCAGTGATCTTGGGATTAATAGGCTCTCAGCACAACCAGCACTGTTGTCGTCATAAGCTTTTAAATGCAGGGTTCAAATCCCAGACTCACATTGTATCAGGTTCTTAGAAAAACCCAACAACAGTAATACATTCTCCAAAACCTCTCGTCTAACAACAGTTTCTTCCTAAATGGCTTCCACCCAAGTGAAACTAAGACAACACAGACACAACTCAAAACACCCACGAAGCATGGGTTTCCATCACATCACCTGTTGTAGATCCAACACGCGGGGCTGCACCCAGGTCATGTGAACACGCTTGTCCACCTCGTCTATACTGCCTCTCACCAGCCCCACCGAGAGCGCCTTCATCACCAGCAGCTCCACCTGTGCAGAGAGAGGGGCTCCTGTAAGACACTCTGACACCCCCCATGGACTCGGGTGGCTTCTGAGACACAGGGTGCCGTTTCTTCTGTCATCTCTGACAGTCGGGGGAGCAGAGTGCTCACACAAGAGTCCCCGCCTCCTCCTGGTGGCAGCTTTGCTGCTGTGACATCCTGAGTCCGGGGACCGTACCTCATTCACTGTGATTTTAGCACTTTTGGCAATTTCTTCAAAGGTGAGTTGTCTGTGATTGGCAGGTCGTGTAAAAGTCATCTGAAAAAAATTTTTGTCATTAACTATTGAAAACTCTTTTTCCAAACAAAAATTGTCAGAGAACTAACTGATTAGGATATTTTTGTCAATTCTTGCTCTGAAAATAGAAATCATCTTACTAGTACCCCCAACATTACAAGTTTCCTAATACTGGTCACGTATCTTGCTAAGAACCATCTTTCAATAGTTAGATAAGAAGGTTAATGGCAAAAATAAGCTTTATTGGAATTTTCTGGAATTCCTGAATAACTGGAATAACCATTATTCAGTCCCAGAATAAGTGCTTGAGGCCACCACGTGGGCTACCATGTGAATCAAAAATACAAGGTCCATTTCCTCAGGAAGCTGAAATCCTGGTGTGGAAAGACACGTGAGCACACGGGCAAGAACGGCTGTGCCACGAGGGGGTGCTGCGCCAGGGTGGAGGAGCAGCTATTCATTTCAGCTCAGACGGCCAGAGAAGGCCTCTCCGAGGGGGCGGCACCTGAGCTGAGACCCATCACAAGCTTAAAACGCAAGTGGTGGTGAAGGGAAAAGGAAGGTGGTGGAGAGTGGCGTGGGGCAGAAGTATCACTGAGGTTTTAACCTGCACTCAGGAGAGGCTTGGAGTCTGCAGGACCTTATCTGGCCAGGACCAGAGACAGAGTAGCTCCTGGCGTGTGCTTACCTCCATGAGGCACAGCAACTGAATTTTCCTCAGGAGCTGGGCTTCGTTGGCTGCTAAATCAGGCTGCGAAGTGTAGAAAGACAGAACAATGTCGTCCACGTTTCTGCGTATTAGTTACCTAACCGGGACTTTGGAATTCTTTCTGCAACAGTACATTGAACAAAAAGAAACTGGGCAGATCCAAACAGTTTACACTGTAGATGGCTGAAGCTCACTAATAGGTTTACTTGGTTTGTACTTCACTTTCTTAGGAATTCTACAGAAGAGTACCTAACTGAAAGGCTGTTTCTTAAGACGGGAATTTACACGAAAGATTTACAGGAATGTTAACAAACACCATCAGGCAGGGCCACGAAGACTCTGCTGGCGCAAGGTACGTCAGGAAAGCCCCTCCTCGTCCCAGAGGCTTTCAGGAGGTGCCGCCTGTGTAGTCAACACAGTAAGTGGCATCCCTGCGAAGGACAGACTCTGCATGTTCTAGACACTTGTTCTGAATCAAAAGAGCAAGTTATTCATTTATAATGAAAAATATTGTTGTCCTGAGAACTAGAATACACTGTCTGCAAGACTGGTACAATCTCTCCTTGTGGGTGTATCAAAGGGTTATTTGGTGAGCACAGAATTAAACCAAGGAGACTTGATTTTTTGATTCATAATGTTTAGCAACTCGGACCCTGATGCAGGCAGCTCCGGCAGGGACATTTCTGCCACGGACACCTGACAGGTCAAGCTCTTCAGAAAGGGCCTCCCACTACCCCTGGACAGGCTTTTGCTGCTTGGACAGGTACTGCTCGAAAGTGCCTCTGAATGTCCTGTTTTTGTTTCTTTTAATTGCTACGGCTAGCCATCTCTGAGTGGCTCGTTTTTTCTCTGGGCTATCAGTACACACTCAGACCACAGGTGGGCCTGGTGGGATGCCTTCTGCCTCCGCACAGTGCCGTCAGCCGTATCTACTCTGCTCCATTATGTGTGAATTTTACAAGGCTACTTTAAAATTTGAGAAAATTGAAAGTTTCAGAAAAGTACAAAAATAACCCAATAACTCCAACCACAGTTAGTATGTTAGTAATATTTGCTTCTAATAATTTCATTTAAAAAAGACCAAACTTACTGTTAAAGCTCAAGTCCTTGTTAAGCACCCCTCACTAACTCCTGCCTCCTACGCAGGCTTTGAAACCCAGTGCCTGCCCTCCCTGCCTGACTCCTGAACCGACCCCTCCCCTGCCCCGCCCCACCCGCACTCATCCCTCCCTCACCTGCACGCTCTCCCACTCCCACCCTCGACGCCCACTCACAGGAGCCTCACACGCTCTCCCAGCACAGCAGACATGCTGCGAGTTTCCCTTCGCTCTGCCAAGCTTGCCGTTCACTCACCCCCACGGCACGCAGAGCATCCTTACTTCCAGGACACCTTCTGTGAGACCCCCCCAACGCAGCACAGACGAAGGGCCCTTACTCTACTCCATCCTCTCAGAACACCCTCTACTTTTCCTCTGCAGCACTAAGCCATCTTGTAGCTAACTAACCTCTTAAGCTTCCTGCTCTGAGAGAGCAAAGACCTGCCTGTCTCCATGTCCTCTCTGCTCAGGGCCTCCCTGTGTGCCTGGAGTGTAGCTCAACAAACATCTGCAGAATCAGTGAACAAACAGCCGGGCATCGTGGAGACCCACCTGCTGGCCCCAGGCCGTCTTCAGAGTCTGGAATCTCTCCACGTTACCACTGTTGAAGGCATAGAGGGTGTCGATCAGCCACTGCCGGTCAGTGCTCCGCAGCGACTCCAGCACGGGGTGCATGAGCTGTGAGGACAGGTGGTCAGCTCATAAGAAAAGCCAGTCTCCCCCTTGTTAGAGAAGCTGAGCCCAGGGCCAACTTACGAGTTCTCCGAAGTTAAAAACTCCCTCGCCAAGAAGTCCTGCCAGTCCCAGCGTGAACGCTCTCTCCTGCTGCTCAGATACTGTGTAGCAACACAGGCCCAGTTACAACAATCAGTCCTGTTTGGCTTTAAAAATCTTACATAACAGAAAAGTAAAGAAACCATTCTTTGGAATGGTTAAATTACAAAGCCTTAACATCAGTCATCTCCTCTCAAGTATTGGATTGACTTAGATTTTACCAGGAACCATATGAGTTTTGCGGAAAGCACATTCATTTGTTACTTTTTCCCTAAATTTATGTGAATCTATTCCTGTTTTCAGGCTATACTGCTTCCTAGAGTAATGATTTCCTTAAATCCTTTACTGGCTATGGGAAGTAGTACTACCTCTTATTTTATTTATCTTCATATTACCGAATTTAGCCTCTTTTTAGTCTAGAATTAATGTACTTTCTGTTCCTATACAGCAAGTCCTTTATTCTCTTGACCACATTAGTTGCTCTTCTTAATACATTTTTCTTGAGATACAGTAATCAGAACTACATCAACATTTTTAAGCATTGCTGGTCTTGTGAGCCTCAACAGTACATTGTGAGAAACATCTAAAATACACTAAAAATCTCTTTTCTAAAAACGTATTTCTTATACTTTTCCCAAAACCCACTGGTCACTTTTCTTTCCACACCTGAATCCTTGTAAGATTTTATAATTTATTCCCAGAAGTCTGAAATTTCAGTTTTCAGAACAAGGGGTCAGCTACAGGGGTAGGGTGGTTAGAAGGTACTTACATCCTGTACCTCGTACAAAAACCTCTGACCTAGGTACTGTGAGACCCTTTGAGAAGGAATGGTAGAGGGGCTGGGAGGAATTAGCCTCACTTTCAGCTGAATTAAATGCTAGAGACAAATACAATGTAGAAACTAAAGCTTAAACAAATCTTTCCACCTTTTCTTCAAAACAGAATGAATCCATCTGAGTAATTTCTGAGACCTATTACCTCAAGCACCTCATAGCTGCTGTGTTTGGAGAACACACTCCTGTGTCACATGGACTTCAATGGCCCACGTTACCTGGTAGATCCTTGATGTCAACACAGCCCAGAAACCGCAGAGCATCTTTGTAGTAGGACGCGTGATTTCCGATTGTTTGATAGTATTTACTGGAGAGGTCGTAGAAACGACTGTGAACTGATGTCACACCGGGCAGGTTGTTGAGCATCTCCTCAACATCTTCAATTGTTTCCTATACATAGGAAGCAAAATTGTCTTTCTTTTTAACTTAAAAGATTTTTAAAGTAACACATCACAAGATAAAGAGTATAAACCACAGGCTTGGTGCAGTGGCTCATGCCTGTAATCCCAGTACTTTGGGAGGCTAAGGTGGGAGGATTGGTTGAGGCCAGGAGTTTGAGACCAGCCTGGGCAATGTTGAGACCCCACCATTACAAAAAAAAAAAAAAAAAAAAAAAAAAAAAAAAAAAAAAATCAGCTGGGTGTTGTGGTATACGCCTGCAGTCCCAGCTACTCAGGAGGCTGAGGCAGGAGGAGGATCCCTTCAGCCCAGGAGTTTGAGGCTGCAGTGAGCTAGGCTGATGCCGCTGCACTCCAGCTCGGGCAACAGAGCAAGAACCTGTCTCAAAGAAAAAGTATAAATCACAAAGGCAAAGACTGATCAATGTGACCACATCAAAATGGAAAACTTCAATTCATTCAAAACACAGAAAAAAAGTACAAAGACAAGCTACACATTAGGAAGCAACATTTATAGCACGTGTAACCAACCAGGAATCCTGACGAAGGAAATGTACAGAACTCCCACAAGCCATCAGGAGACAAGCAACACAGCAGAAAAATGGGCAAAAGACATTAACAGGCAATTTACAGAACTGGAGACATAAATGGAATAGGCAATAAATCACTAGTAATTGAGAAATGCAAATTAAACCCCCAGTGAGATGTTACTTCCTTTCCACTAGATCAGCAAGAGTCAAACAGTCTGAAACCATCAAGTGTTGAGAACACAGAGCTTCGGGAGTGCTCGTACAGTGCTGTGGGGGCACGAGCCACCTTGGAGAAACACCCGACAACATCTGATAAAGGTGAAGGTGCATATGCCTTATACCTGCAGTCTCCAGGAACCTGGTGAGATTCTGCCCATGCACACAGGGACCAGGCACAGAAATATTAATAACAGCAACATTTGTAATAGAAAAAACAGGCAACATGCCTTCAACAGGAGACTGGATACATATGTTGTGAAACACTTACACAACGAAATGCCATACAGAAGCAAAAACGCACTGGTTACACATGTCTGCATGATGGCTCTGAAACCTGGTGTGGAGCCAGTATCCTAAAACGTACTTAGCACAAGATACTCGTATTTAACAACGCATAAAGAAACACAACACACAGGCATGAGAGGAGCCTTGCTGGCAGAGACCAACCCGAAGGCTGTGGGAGCTGTGCGGTGCTGCTGCATTCCTGAGCGGGTGGGGACCCAGGGATGCCCGTTACAGCTTTCTTTATGGTGACTGAAAGCTTCTATGTATGTATTAGATATTTCAAAACAAAATGCAATAGGTACGCATATGGGGCTAAGACTGAGAAGCAACGAACAACAAAAAGTATTTGGTAGGGCAATGAGAACATGAATACTTTTAATCCCAAAACTTTCTTTCATATTACAATTACCAAAACAAACACAAACACACGCAGGGCCCAGTTAAACAAGGTAAACTGACCACATATGTTGGTCTCACTGCCACCCAAATCCACACCTGTGTCCCAAATTGCACTAAAATGAAAATAAGAACACAGACAGGAAACTTCCACAACACTGAGGAGGCAGAAAGACGACGAGGGAGCAGCACACGACCCATCAGTGGCAAGCAGGCTGACTCTGGTTAAGGAGAACACACGTGCTTCGGACCAGCCGAGGCCACGTGGAGTGAGGTGGGGTGGAGGTGCTGCAGGCACACGGGAGAGTGCTTTTGTTTAAGGGTAATGGGCATCGTATCAGCAACTTACTCTTAAATGGTTTTGAAAAAAACTATACATATACACACAGAGAATAAAGCAAAAGTGGTAAAAGGTTAACAATGGGAAATCTAGGGGTTCTTTGTGTTATTTTTGCAACTTTCCTGTTATTTAAAAATATTTTTAAATAAAGTTTTTATTGTGATAAACAGTAAACTTCTTAAACTAAAGATAAATCCATATTATGGTGATCTCACCTTTGTAACCTGTAGGTCCCCGATGTTTAATTTTAGAGCTCCGATTGCTGTTTTACAAAGAATCACTGCCTCATCACTACTTTTCACCTAAAGACATCAAAAAACAAGGAATCTCAGAAATGTGGGCAGCTGACTAACAAAGTCAGCCAGCTACTGTACATTAACTTAACTTTCATGACTAGAGACGCTGTGGTCTCTGAAGGTGTGGACAGTGAGCACTGACACAAACTGTAAGTCGCATATATTCTAAAAGGTATCGCTTAAACCTCGTTTACCTTCTCACGAGTCTTTTCCAGAAAAGTAAGAGCCACATTAGGATCTAGAAAAGAAAGGAACAAAGTCAGAAGAACCACTAACAGAGTACCTTTATGGACTGGTTTTACCAACCAAGACACATTCAGGTAGGATAATCTTTAGGTTTAGATCATAAAGTATAATAAAAACATAACTTAAAATCTTACATACACACACACACACACACACACACGCACACAATATGTATATATATATTTTTTTGAGATAGTCTCACTCTGTTGCCCTGAATAGAGAGTACCATGGCCCAGCCTAGCTCATTGCAACTTCCAACTCCTGGGCTCATGTGATCCTCCTGCCTCAGCCTCCCAAGTAGCTGGGACTACAGGTGTGCACCACCACGCCCAGCTAATTTTTCTATTTTTAGTAGAGATGGGATCTCACTCTTGCTCATGCTGGTCTCGAACTTCTGAGCTCGAGCGATCCTCCAGCCTTGGCCTCCCAGAGTGCTGGGATTACAGGTGTGAGCCACCATGTCCGGCTGCCATTTTGTTTTGATAAGCTAAAAATCTTCTATTGTCAATCAAAATACAAAAGTTCAATTACCTTACATTTCATGATCATTTTAACTACCATTTGGATCTGTTCTTTGACGAAACAAAGTGGGACTTACCAGTCATCTGTCTAACGACATGAAGAATGATTTCTACCAGAGACAAAGGATTCACCCTGAAATAAAAACCACCAGTCTTTGAATGTCAATGAATATAGATATACTCATTTTCAAAGTAAAAAACTGACAAAAGGGTTTTACCTGTGTTCAAATTCACTGATGAAGTTTTCATAAAGCTGTGAAACCAAAATATGGAGAGAAATTATAGGATGTCTTTCAGTCTGCAAAAATCAAGACCCGCCAAACATTGTTTTTAGTTGAACAATAATCAATATTATCAAGTTATGATTTTGCAAACCAAAATGCCCATCACATAGTAAGCAATGCATAAATGTTTGCTTAAGGACAGGAAACCCACATTAAGGCTTAAGTTCACACAAATGATTGCCAATGCATTATTCAAGAAAATTAGGATTTCTTTCTACCTTTGGGAATTAGAGCACAGACCTACAAGAATTTCCTAAAGACCTATCCCTATATTCTTTCTCCAAGATACTATAAGAAAAATAGACCATCAGTTTGAAATGTTCGCTAATCATACAGAATGGAGTGCCTTCGCATTTCAAAAGGTTAAGGCTAATTATGTACCATTATCCAATTTCTTAGCCATTCAGCACACACTTGAGCTCTTCCTCAGACTCTATGCTAAGTACTACAGACACAGAATGTGTAGGATAAATGATGTCTCTTTGAGGAGCTCCTGGCCTAGTGGTGAAAGCAGTCTTTAAACAAATAAATGACAATACTGTGAGTTCAAGAGCAAGGGGAAAGAAAAAAAAAAAGCCCAGCCCAAGGGAGAGGCTTCAAACAAGGTTATTCCAGAAGTGGTAATATTGAGTTTCAAGGAATGAAGAGCAGTTAGAGAGATGGACATCTGTTGTGGGAGAGGGGGCAGTTGAGAGAGGAACATTCCAGACAGGAACAGACAAGTGCAAAAGCACTAAAGAAAAAACTACATTATGTTTCAGGAGTATTTCCGAAGGACACAGAATAGGAGGCACTGAAGATTGGTCTCTCTTCAAAATGCAAGGCTGAACCAGTGGAAACACATGATCACACTTTTATTTTAGAAACATGACTAGGGGCTGAGAGGACAGCAAGGGAAAAGACTGAGAGAGACTACCAGTAGCCAAGACAGGAGAGTGAGGGAGCAACAGTGTGAGGATGGATGAAGAATCTGAGAGAGATGTGCTGGTAAGCTGAACGACTTGGTCAGAGGTGAGCAGGTCATAGAGCAAGGGAGCTGACAACGACCCCTTAGCTTATAGCTAGGTAACTGGGCAAAAGGAGTGCCCGGTGTGGGCAAAGTAGGGAGACGCAACCTCCAAATGACCTCAACTTTGGATTAGGAGAGCCTGAAGCTCCTCTGGAATATGAAGGCAGAAAGATGGAAAGATCCCTATGGCAGTTATTTAAATCTGGCACACAGCAAACAGCCATCTACATAAAATGGTGTTTTCATTAGAAGAGCCTATTCCAAAGATACCTTCCTCATTAAGAGGGAATGTTTTAACTTTTCTAATATCTATTTTAATTTATGGTATTATTTAAAGAAAAAAGCCCACTAAGTACAGAAACTTAAAGTTACTTTTGGTGACTGTAAATTCATGAATGCTATCTATTAATATTTTACACTTATGCGGGCTGCATCTCAATAATTTTTAAAGGTTTATTTTGTCCATGAAAAAAATCATATAGATCTGCCAACCTGAATAAGGATCATATTACCAGGAGGTTGAGAAAATATTTTGCCATATGTGGAAAAGTGATTCAAAGGTAAGAAAGCAAAGGATAGCGGTAAACAATTATGAATTATCTATCACAATGATATAGAACCTTAGGGAACAAGTATTAAGACAGGTCTCATTTATCAGTTTTTCACATAATCTAGAAGAAAGAATGCCCAGCAAAATCTCTAGGCTTATAGATGATTATAAGTTCCTTTGAGTAGTAAAATGTCAGATTGATAGGTATAAACCACAAGAAAATCTTACAAGCTCAGGCGGTGGGGTAGTAAGGTGGTAAGCTGCACTGTGAGTAAATATAATGTATTCAGAAGAAATAACTCAAGCTATAATTATAAGCTAGCTATCAGTTATAATGCTGGTATAAACCTCTGATTCATCCAGAATCAAAGAAAGGCCTCAGAGAGTAAGATGTCACAAAAGACTTCAAGGAGCACGCTACCAATGAGCACATTTGTGAGGATTTGCCAGGGGATCTGGGGGAGGCTAGGAAAGAATAGGTGTTTTTTTTTGTTGAGAAAATTCTAAAAGTGCTCTATCACACAGGCAGCATGATATTATGCAGGACTCCCCCTCTAATCCCTCTCACTCTCAACCAAAGTACAAAAGGTGCTCTATTTCCACACTACTCAGGGCAGAAAGTGTTCAGGCAAGCAAGTGGAGTTGGTGTAGGCAAGTGGAGTGATGGCAGTTATCTAAAAGATTCCTGTGGTAATCCTCCTCTACACCCTACCCAGCCCTCTAATTGGTTTTGAACTTTTAATTTTTGCATAACAGTTTCCCAAAAGTAGGGTACTCAAAACAAACAGTCTATGAATAATAAGAAACTGGGGCATGCTATAACAGAGCATGCTAGAATTTTAGAAGAAGCTAGAATGTTTGCGTTTGAATCCTCTTCTGTCACTTATTACCTGTGACCTATGGTAAGTTACTGAAACTCATCTGCTTCCACATTAAAAAAAACGATAAAACTACTACTTATCTTCTAATATTCTTATGAAAAATAAAAGTAAATATGTAAAGCATTTAAAACAGTACTCGACACAATAACAGGTATAGCTTATTACTATTATCATAAAGCCCATCTATTATTTTAGAAAGTCTTTCAGCACATTTATATAGCCTGACCTAACAAGGTAAATTATTTACCTTAATGAGACCATCTCCTTGAGCAAAGCACGGATCCTGCACAAAATCAAGCACCTGAAGCGTCAGCTGATGCCACAACCTGAAAAACATAAGGCCCTTGAGACTTAAAAACTAATATCCAGTGACAGACACTTTCAGCCTTGCCAGTCCTACCAAGTAACAAATACACGTTGAGTATCTCTAATCCAAAACTCCAAAATCAGAAGTGCTCCAAAATTCAAAACTTTTTGAGCACTAACATGAGGTTCACAGGAAATGCTCACTGGAGCATTTCAGATTTTGGATTTTGGATCAGGGATGCTGAACCAGTAAATATATAATGCAAATATTCCAAAATCCAAAATACTTCTGCCTTCAAGCATTTCAGATAAGGTATACTAAACCTGTACTAACTATTAATAGTCTCTACTGTGTAGCAGAAAGAATGCTAACACAGAAGCTAATAAACCTCAATTCTTTTCCTGGCCTTGCTACCTCAATGTTCATGTCACCTTCAGATAACCTCACTTCTCTAAGACTCAGTTTTCCCACCTATGAAATGGAGAACACCTTTCTAGATTATCTCAAAGGGCTACTGTGAGGTTTGCCGGGAAACCAGAACTTTGAAATCATACAGATCTAAGTTGAAACCCCAGCTCTTCTACTTACTAGCTGAGTATCTCAGGGAAGGTGATTAAACTGAGCTTCAGTTTCCTCATCTGTGAATGGGATAAACAAAGGATTAAATGAGCTAATATATATAAAACCACTAGGACAGTGACACAGCACTTAATCCAAAAACCAAAGGCTAATATTTAATAACGCAGATAAAATGCTTTGAAAAATACAAAGTGCTATCCAACACAAACAATTATTTGTAAACACTAATAATTTGCTCTCAAAAACTGCTAACAGCAGAAGGTTGCTGAATGCTCAACATCACCAAAACATGTATTGAATGTCTATGTGAAAAGTAGTATGTTAAATGTTAGAGTTGTTAACAGGGAAGTTACTACAGCAGGCATTATTTTCCTACGGAATAGTTCTAGCCCAATGCTAGCAATTTATTCTACTCATTTTAAAAGAGGTTGGTGCTTAGCAGCAATAATTTAATTGTTCTGAAAGTCATCCTGTTTCTAAACAAACCCCAACTCCAAGATCTCTCTAGGGGCACAAAGCCCAGCGTGAAATACAATGGAAAGTAGGGATAACGGGAGAGGGGGAAGCGGCTGTACCCTGTCCAATCAGTTGCAGCACCAAAGGAAAACAAAACTGCACTGTCCTCTGCTTTATCCGCCCCAGACCGTGAGAAAGATAACTGCAGATACAGTCACACCGTGACAAGGCTAAGTACAAGTCACCAGGATCTATTTCCCAAAAGGGGGTGTCAACCTAGGCCTGGAAGTGTGTTTGCTTGTTTGCAATTAAGACCTAAAATCACAGGCCATCCCTGAACCCTTTTAGTAAGACCAGAAGGAAAGGGAGTTTAGAAGTCTCAGTCATAGAACCTCGGTCAGGAAAGCAGTGAATCCCACACCCAGACATCCTGGCTACAGGTTTGCTCCTTAGTCCTCGCAGGCTGTAATCCTTTTTTCTCCTCCGCCCTGCCCCTCGGATTCCTCAGCCCACCTCCCGGCCTCGCCGGGCCCCACTCTTCCCACACGTCCCCGCCTCCTCCGGCCTCCCCACTCCGGTCTGACCGCCCTCAGCCCATCGACGTCCGGCCCCTCTGTCCCGCTCTGTCCCCGGGACCTGGGGCCCCGGGCCCCGCTGCTCACTTTTTCGTGTAGAGCTCCTCCAGACGATGCCACACAGCCGGCTGCCCGGGCCCGGAGCTCTGGCTCTGCTGTAAGAAGCCCGGTACGTCCTTCATATCGGCAGGAAGACCCCGGGACACAGGCACTACCAAAACGTCAACGCTGCGGGGATGGCGACCGGAAATGCTCACTCACTTCCGGCGCCGCGCGGCGCGGGGCATGCCGGGAGCGCCGAGGCTGGCGGCGGCCCGCTGGTTGTCGGGGTAACGGCGTGCCCCGCGGTCCGGGCGGAATCCTCCGCCGGGTGTGCTGCGTCCCTCCCGCGCACCAGGCCGTGCCAAGGCGGCGTCGAAGAGCGTGGGCGTCTGCGGTCGTGTCGGCCGTCTCCTGGCCTTGTGGCGTGAGCCTTCGAGAGCCGCAGTTTCTCCTCCTCAGATGGGACGGCAGTAGTCCCTTCCCAGTGGTGTCTCTCGAGGACCAAGTGTAAATGTAATGCCTGACTCCAGGAGGCGCTCCGGGAGTATTAGTTACCATCACTATCCCGGGGGAAAGGCAGAGAAGTGCAGGCTCCTGATTTGGTCTCTGGGACGAAAGGTCAGGACCAGACCGCGGAACTGCCCCCACTGGGTGTTTTCCTCCCTCTGGGGGCGCCGGGGGCGGGAACATGGCGCTGTGGGGCCGGCGCAGGGCGGGGCTGGGGGCGCTCTGGGCGGGGCCTGCGCGGGGCGGGCCCGAGGACGCCGGCTGCGGGATCATGGCGCTGTGGGGCCGGCGCGCGCCGCTCGTGCTCGGGCTGTGGGGCGCCGGGGCGGGAACGCGCGGCCTTCTCGGGGCCCATGCCGGGCTCGCGGGGCCCGGCGTCCCGCGCAGGTACTGCGAGTGGGCGGGCGGGCCCTCCGCGGTGGTCCTCGACGCCTCGCCCCTCCCCCGGGCGGGTTCGGGGCCGTCCCCAGCCGTTTTGCTGACGACGTCTTGGAGTTCGTTCCGTCTGTACTCAGCTGTAGAAGCCACTCATGGCTGTTGCGTGATTTACTTCACCATTCCCTTATTGAAATAGTTAACGGTGTTTCGTTATTACACGCAATGCTGTGGAGGCTAGCCTCGTTTGCACCTCGCCTTTTGGATAAATTTCTAGTATTTACTGGGGCTGCTGCGTCTAAAGGCATCTACGTTTAAGTTTGTCACTGTCGTCTAGGAAGCTTGTGCGGTTCACACTCCCAGCAGCGTGGTCATACCCGCAATTGCACGTTGTGGAATCCTTTCCTGAAAGCAGCCTGCATGTTTGAACGTCCTAAGGCCCATAGTTGTCAGGAAACAAATGCCCCGTAATGGATAAAGATTTAATGGGGGTACATTCACTTGATGCCGTCTGACACAGCTACTAAAGATACGGGTGACGAGTTTAGCAGCGAGATCCTGAGGAGTCACTGATTCGTCTAAGAAACCTTCATTCTGGGCCAGACTCTGTTCTGGGTGTTGGGGACAGAGCGGGGCCAGGACAAGGACACACGTGCTTCCATGGAGCCAATTTAGATATTGGCAATAATCTGCAAGACCAACTGTCCCTCGACAAGCCCTTGCCACCACTTGTCCTAAAACAGGAAGCGTGGGGTTGCTTGTGAGGAGGAGTCCGTTTGCATGGGTTTTCTGTGGTTCGGATCTTTTGCCCCTTGACTGCAGATTTGGGACTGTGTGTAATTCGTCCTTTGTGTCCTTCCATTCTCGCCCAGGCAGCACCCATGCCTGCCTTTCAGGGTAACCCTACTCCCAGCAAATCTCATACCGTGTAGCATGTGTAAAGTCACACAGCTCAAGTATGTTCTGGACGGTTGGTACAGTTCTGTCCCTGTGTCTTTCAGTGCTCACAGACATTCACTTACGTAGATGAGGGATGTGCTTCAGGTGTCCTGCGTGAGCCGTTGCACTCAGTAAGCACTCAGCAATGGTAATAACTTTCCTCTCATACCTTGTGTGTCTCTCATAGCAGTTTACATTTAGGAGGAGCTCAGAAACTAGTTTGGGTAAAGACCTCGGGTGAACAGATGTCCTAAATGCTGTGTGAGGTGGGGCATTTAATAGGTGGTGGGATGGTTTTGGAGCCATGGCTTTCCCTTCCTTCCTGTCTGCCTGACCAGTTTTCATTAGAAAACCCTTTTGGAGGTTTGCATTCAGGAGCTGAGTGCCTACTGAGCGCAAGGTCTCAAGATGCATTCCTCAAGGGAGCTGGATGGGAAAAAGGCTTAGGAACACTGGCCTTTAGGGAGACCTTTTGTTTGGCTGAAATGAGGGGTAAGGAGTAATGGGGAGTTAAAAGTGTCACTGGGGTGGAATATGTTGTACTAAGACATTGGGATCCTGTGGGGAAAAGAGAACTTTGGGGGAGACCGCGGCAGCAATGTGCAAGGAAGATTGTTGTGTGGGGAGATTTTGCAGTGTTGGTTTTGTAGGGAGCAAAAGGAAAACACAAAAGAGTCAACAGAAAAGTGAGTTAGGATCATCCTAGAAGATAAATTCTGAATTGTACTGACATGTGTCTAAAGATGTGTTTTTTGGGTTCTTATTTCTTGCCTGTGTGACAAATGAGTGAAGAAATACTCTCAGTTGTCTGTTTTTACATCTGTGTTTGCTTCAGATTCATCATTTATTTGGGGAGTGTTGTCAGATTGATCTGTGGAATCTCTTTTCCTGTCCAGTGGTGGTCTCTCTGCTGCAGACAGAGACGTCCTTGAGGATTGTCACGGGGCCAACTGGAAGAACGAACATGGTGGCCCTGGTCTTTGGGGTGTGAGGAAGGGGCCCGTGCACTGGGGCTGAGAGTCGCCAGGGTGATACCAGGTGATGAGGATGGTGGGCTTGGTTAGATGCCAGCCGAGGGCCCTAACAGTCAATAAACCTAGGAGGCCTTTCAGGGCCACGTGGGGCTTTAGTGCGTCATGCCTCCAGCTGCAGACTTTGGTGGGATGTTTTCAGGTACTGCCCCTGGCTTTGTGTTATTGTATTGCTTTTTTTCTTCCTGTTGCTTTCCTGGGTGTTGAGTCACTTACAAAGTCCTAGGGCCTTATTGAAGCCTGTGACTTGTTTATTATGTGTTTTGTGATGTTTTCCTATGAAAGCTCATCTCATACTCCTAACAATTAACCGCTTGAGTGTCTTGGCTTCTGGAGGTGACCTGAGAAGCCCCCTAGAGCTACAGCCTACCTGCTGCCTTGCCTGATTGTATAAGTTTGGCTGCTGAATGGCTGCAGACCTTGAAGATGAACTGTCTGCAGCCGTTTGAACCCCTGGCTATCAGAGGGTGAACGTTTCTTTCTGGAATGGTCTCGAGCCCACTCTTCATCCTAGTATAATAATATTCGGCATAAGGTCTAATTATAATTCTCTTTAAATGTCACTGTATATTCGTCACATCTCAGGTTTGTTAGATTGTGCAGCTCTGTTGAAAGTATTCCCAGAGCTCCCACAAAAGGATGTTCTTGGCTCTGGCTTGAGCCTTCAGTGTGGAACCCTGTTCTCTCAGCACATGCTTTTGATAATGGAAAGTATGAAGTGAGTGCAGTTCCTCTTAACCTGAATTTTTTGCTCCCAGATAAGTCCTGAGTTCTGATTCGGGACTGCTTTCCATGGGCCCAATAGTCATGAGGAAGCTGGTTATTTTAGGAGGACTGGAAAAAAGTACGTGGTCATTCTAGATGGTGGGCTGGTGCAAAGGGGCAGAGCTGTGCTCGTTCTTGGTAGCATGAGATTGGTTGTCATCTGTTACCTTTGCCACTCTGCTTTTTCTGTCAGAATTACAGGTGGAAGAAGGCCCATATCTTTTTCTGTGGGGGCTTCAAGCGTCTTTGGAAGTAGAGGCAACAGTGAGAAGGGGAAGCTTTCCCTGCTGGACATTGCTGAGCTGATTCGGGCCAGAGCCTGCCAGAGAGTGGTTGTCATGGTGGGGGCCGGCGTCAGCACCCCCAGCGGCATTCCAGACTTCAGGTGCTGTCTGCAGTCCCCACTGCCTTCTGCGCTGCTCGTTTACTGCTCTTCCTGGCTCTCTTCCGCAGGGCTCAGTCTTCCTTTTCTTTCTGCAGATCTCCAGGGAGTGGCCTCTACAGCAACCTGCAGCAGTACGACATCCCTTACCCCGAGGCCATTTTCGAACTTTCATTTTTCTTTCATAACCCCAAGCCATTTTTCACTTTGGCTAAGGAACTGTACCCTGGGAACTGCAGGCCCAATGTCACTCACTACTTCCTCCGACTGCTTCATGACAAGGGGCTGCTTCTGCGACTCTACACACAGAATATTGACGGACTCGAGAGAGGTGAGCCCTCTGTCGTCTCACACGTCCTCTTCCCATCAGGGAGGGCTGGAGCCTAGTGCTTGTACTTCATCTTTGGGACTGTTTTTGGGTCACTGCCTGTTCTCCTGGCATACATGCTGGGCTGTGCATTTTGGACAGGACTGAAATTGACGTTGTTTTGCTAATCTAGTGTGATGGTCCCTTTTTAAAAAATTTTATTATGGAATTTTTGAACACAAAAATAAAGAGAAAAACGTAATGAACCCTCATGTCCTCCTCACTGTCTCCATCATGAACACACGGCCAGTCCTTGTTCCTCTGTGTCCTCCGAAACTCCCAGGTTGTTTTGAAGCAAACCCCTCACATCACAAATTTAATCTAGAAATAATATATTTAAATACATCACTGAGTATCTCTAGAAGGTAAAGACTTTTAAAGACGTAACTCTGATACCGTTATCACACTAAGGACTCACTAAAAGTTCTGTAATATTGTCATACTCAGTCTATGATGATTTCTTGACTATATGCGTGTGGTGGCCCAAACCAGTAATTCACAGATTGTGCTGACCTCTGGCCACGCATCTTAGAGAAGTCCTCGGTGGGGCCTTTGCCTTACATGCAGTGACACAGACAGGTGCAGGGACGGTCGGCTCTCAACAGCAGCAGCTCAGCCAGTCTGTAGACACCCTGTCATTTAAGAGGAGCAGTCACCTCAAGTTCAGGAATGTGTTTCCTTGCTGGGAGGGTTCCATAGCTCGGAGCCAGAGAGGCAGGAGTGGATACCCCGTGGTGGAGTTCTCTTCTCCCAGAGATGCAGCGGGGCAGGCCTTTGGGAAAGTGGGAGTTCCTGGCTGTGGGCTTCAGCACCACTGAGTTAGGACCATTACGGGGACCCTGTCCATGCCCACAGTCTTTTGGAACCAGACAACTTTCGTAACAAGTTGTTTTTTGTCTTTTCTCACCAAGCAGTTTTTTTTTAATCTATGATATTTATATCCTCATTTTTACTTGGTGTCCGAAGAATGGAAAATGTGTTCCTAGGTATTAGATATAATTTTATTTGAACTATAGTAATATCAAATGGTTGTTTTGACAGGCTTTGTTTTAACCGTGATTTGGCTCCAGCTGGGAGCCCCTTAACCCCTGTGCCTTATTCTGGTTGGTGCAGCGGCATCGATAGGTGATAAAGGCAGGGATGTCAGGCTTTACTTCCCAGGAGGCCTGTCAAGCCCAGAAGTTGTGCTTTTAGACTTGTGCACTCACCTGAAGGCAGCAACACTGAGCTTTGGTTTGAATTTCAGTGTCTGGCATCCCCGCCTCAAAGCTGGTTGAAGCTCATGGAACCTTTGCCTCTGCCACCTGCACGGTCTGTCGAAGACCCTTCCCAGGGGAGGACTTTTGGGTGAGTTACCCCACTGACGGTCTCCCTTCTGCACTTCACAAGGCTGGTGGGGGGTGATCTGGTAAAGTGCATTTGTAAGTGTCAAGTTGGGAGGACAATAGTACAGTAATAGTGTGAAAATATTTTTCTTTATTTTAAAATGATGTGAAGGGATTTGCATTTTAGGGAGGTTTCATAGAGACCGGGTCTCGCTCTTGCTCAGGCTGGTCTCGAACTGTAGTAAGTTTTGAAATCAGGCAGTGTGAGTGCTTCAACTTTATTGTTCTTTTTTAAGATTGTTTTGTCTATCTGCGGTCCCTTGAGATTCAGTATAGATTTTAGGATGGGTATTTTTTTTTTTTTTTTTTTTTTACTATTTTTTATAAAATAGACTATTTTTTAGAGGAGTTTTAGGTTCACAGCAAAGTTGAGTAGGAAGTACGGACAGTTTCCATGTATCTCTGTCCCCACATGTGCACAGCCCCCCCCACTGTCCACCGCCCCCCCACAGTGGTCCGTTTGTCACAGCTGATGAACCTGCACTACACATCACTGTCACCTAGAGCCTGTGTCTTACGTTGAGGTTCACTCTTGGTGTGGGACGTTCTTTGGTTTTGGACAAACGTGCAATGACACGTGTCCCCATTATAGTATTGTCGGAACACATTCACTGCCCTGAGAGTCCTCTGTGCTCTGCCTAGTTGTGTCTCCCCCCACCAACCCCTGACAACCACTGGTCTTTTGACTGCCTCCACAGTCTTGCCTTTTCCTAGATGTCGTAGAGTTGGAGTCATACGAAGGCAGCCTTTTCAGATTGGCTTCTTTCACTTAGAAAAATGCATTTAAGTTTCCTCCATGTCTTTTCATGGCTTGACAGCTCATTCCTTTTTAGCTCTGAAGAATATTCCATTGTCTCATACCACAGTTTATCCATTCACCTACGGAAGGACTTGTTGGTTGCTTTCAAATTTTGACAAATGAATAAAACTGCTGTAAATATTCATGTGCAGCTTTTTGTATGGACATAAGTTTTCAGCTCATTAGGGTAAATACCAAGGACTGTGATTGCTGGATCATATGGTAAGAATATGTTTAGTTTTGTAAGAAACGGCCAAACTGTCTTCCAAAGTGGCTGTGCCATTTTGCATTCCCACCAGCAATGGATGAGAGTGCCTGTTGCTCCACATCCTCACCAGCATTTGGTGTTTCCAGTATTTTGGATTTTCTAATAAGTGTGTAGTGGCATCTTGTTGCTTTAATTTGCAGTTTCCTGATGGCATATGATGTGGAGCGTCATTTCATACGCTTATTTGCCATCTGCATATCTTCTCTGGTGAGATGTCTGTTCTGGTCTTTTCCCCATTTTTAAATTGGGTTATTTTCTTACTGTTGAGTTTCAAGAGTTCTTTGTGTATTTTAGATAACAGTCTTTTATCAGACACGTCTTTTGCAAACATTTTTTGCCTGTATTCCATTCTAGTAGCTTGTCTTATTCTCTTGACAGTGTCTTCCACAGAGTGGAAGTTTTGAATTTCGATGAAGTCCAGCTTAGCAGTGTTTTCTTTTGTGCATCCCGCCTTTGGTAGTATATCTAAAAAGTCATCACCATACCCAAAGTCATCTAGGTTTTCCCCTGTGTTATCTTCTAGAAGCTTTGTTGTTTCACATCGAGGTCTTTGGTCTGTTTCGCGTTAATATTAGTGAAGTATGTATGGTTTGTATCTAGGTTCAGTTTTTGGCGTGTGTCTGCTCAGTCCCAGCGTCCTTTCCCACTGCATGGCCTCTGCTCCTTGGTCAAAGATCTGTTAACAATGTACGTACGTGTGTATCAGTTTTGAGCTCTCTGTTCTGTTCTATTGATCTATTGGTCTGTTCTTTCACTAATATAGCAGTCTTTTTTTTTTTTTT